GTATAATTAAGGATTTAAAAATTGTCAAAGTTGAAATTTATAATAAAAACATAGTAAGTAAACTCAAACTTTTGGAAACAACTGTAGATTAATAAAAACCTATTGTAGTTTTTTCTAGATAAATCTGCTACCACTCTGTAAGTAAAGTAGATCCAGCTAGGGGTTGGACAGTCAAATACACAATTATAAATGATGAAACAAGCTAGTAAATTAATAACAAGTTAAAAAACCACTTCATAGTTAAGCTATCTTTAGACAGAGACATAATGAAAGGGCTATTAGAGTAATAAAAAAATTTTGAGAGGAGTTGATATGTACAGTATATCAAATCTAATTTATCTATTTTAACCCAATAGGAGGGAATGCATGTTTATATACTAATTTTCTTAAATAATTATCTATTACTAGGAAAAATAAGTGAAAACAATTGCTATACAAGGATCAATAGAAGAAAAGGTTCTACTCACATCTTGAAAAAACTTGACAAGAGAGAGAAAATGATAATATATTATAGAATCGACACTTGAGACTATACTATTACTACTATTTCTTTACCATCGACTAGGTACTCTTTGAGAACTTTATTAGTTGAAAGTACAATATCTGTTTCTCAGTTGCTTTCAATACTTCTATATTATAATTTTTATATCTTCCAATTTTGATACTATGATTTGCCTTATCCTACTTACATTAAGTTTTCTTTTTGATGTTTCTTCAAGTAACCAGACAAGTTAAAGGAATTTTCAAAGGTGTCTAGAATTAGGATTAAAAAGAATTAAAAAAAAAAGGTCATGAGATGGAAGTACGAGATATGGAGCCTTTGTTATTCAGTGAATCTATCCTTACTTATCCATTACGATAACCTCTCTAAAAAAGGAATATTGATTTTTTTAGCATGTACCTTCACTGATCTTGATAAATATTACTCTTGGGGTACTACTATCATAAAGAAGCTAATCTATTATGCCACTTTATATCAATACTTTTTGTTAGTGATTTCATTTTCAATTAATACAAATAATCCCAAAGAATCTTCCAGTCTCCTGGTGTTTCAAACTTGTATAAGTAGGGGTGCACTTTCAAGACTTTGTCTTTATTTTATATCTTTTTGAATATCTTGTTCTTCTTATTTTTCTAAGTAGCGATAGATAGTTTTCTAAAAAATTATTCCCTTTCTTGATTTTCAATGATATGTTAAAAAGTAATGTCTGACAAGACATATGGATTTAACTAATGAAAGCTTGTTTACATTCTTTTATTGATATGCTCTCTACTAGTTAATCACTGCTTGAGAAACTTTGTATTACTCAAAATTCAGGATCAAACTGAGATAGGTAAAATTTTCCAAAAAAAACCAAAAAAGAATATTCTTAGAGTAGTATATGACAAAAGAGTGGATAAAAGATAAATCTTTTATCACCAGAAAAACCTTGCATTGTTTCTTCAATAAATGAATAGATAGCAACACTTCAGTTCCTCTTTCTTTCAGAACTTTTTTGTCATTGATAAAAAAGATGTATTCATGACTTTGATTACTAAAAGTTAGGTTTTTGTTTGAAGAAAATGGAAAGATAAAGATGACTCTTGAAGTATTATTTTAAGTTGATTTAAGGAAAGTGGTAAGACTTTATTAATGTAATTTTTTGTATTCTACTGACTTGGTAAGATATATAATAGTAAAAACCTGTTTAACAATGTGTGATTTAGGAAAATCTAAATCAAAATCCATTATAAAATAAATTAATATCTTCAAGATCAAACGAATTTGTTAGACTTAACTGTATTGTATACCATGCTGCTCAAATAAACGACAATCTGGTCTGGCTATGGGTAAAAAAAATAAACTCACAATCTAGCCTGACTGCGGGTTATTTGCAAAAAAAAAAAATTCTTAAACTCTCGTGTAATAATTAAGCTTTTCGGCGTCGATAGAGTCAAAATTAAAAATTAAATTGTTTAAGTGTTCTATAATGACTTTATGCATTACGTGACCACACAATCTTCCGCTTTCAATCCGTATAATTCCTTATCTACCGCTTTTTTAATCATCATCCAATCATCTCTCCTTTGACAAAACTCGTATATGTCTTCGGCGTAAAATATGCCATTAAATCGTTCGGTTTCTCTAATGAATAAACCGATGTCTCGTGGGTTGGAAATAATATAAATGTTACCGAGCTCTTTAAGTGCGATGAAATGAGGTGTAATGGTAGGTTGTTGAAGAGTTGTAATGAAAGAGCAATAATGATTTAAATCGCTTTAAAGGAGAGGTAGCATCACAATAGCGATTGTTAGCATATATAAATACCATTCATGATTATCAGGACTTCGTGATCAGAGGATTTATACCTAATAATTTGAAAGCCACCATTCGTGTTCACAACAAACTTCTTCAAATGTTTAGTTAAAATCCTAAAGAGCGTGAAGTTGAACGTTTCATGGTTTCGGATGGTGGAGAATGAAGGAATCGACAAACTCCATTCCTTACCCAAATAATCTAAGCCCAATCTCCTGAAAAAATAGGTCCATCGTATGCTTATCTGAACAGCCTGCCACTAGTTTTGTGTATTTGAACAGACACTCAACTGCTTCAATACACGCCTTTAATAATTGAATAATAAGCTACATGTCGAATGCCAATTATAAATTGCAGAAAGAATTTCGCGTATTAAAAATCCAAAAATACCTTGGTGGGCGCTAAATCCAACGATGCATCAGCCGGTGGTTCAAAATCTCCGGGTCTTTGTTCCGTGGCCAAAATAAATTCGATACGATCAATTAGAATCTGTAAACCGTGAGAACAAAGAAATCAGATATTTTCATCTCTGTTGTCACGGAAGAAACACGAATCTTACAAAGGCATCTAAAATATACCTGAATGCCTTTGTTCAAGCCAGCGGCTACGCATTCATCCAAAGTCTTTTCGAAAATTTTCTTCTCTTTATTACAGATATTCAAAAAATCCATTCTATCGATAAATCGACTCTACAATCACAACAAAGTCTTAGACCGGATCCCCAATCTAGTAAATTACATGAAACTCACTGCAGCACTTCAGAATTTACCATCTCTTCGTCATAATATACTTGTACCATTTGTTGTATGAGATCTGCAATATGTGTCAATTCGAAAAATTCGACCAAGGGTGCCAGGCCCTTTAAATCAGCTTGATCATTAAGGCGTTGTACGGCTCTACATTGCAACGGGTCGGCGAATGAGGAAGCCAGGGAAGAGAAGAAGGTTGCCAAGGTAAGGGTAAACATACTTACATGCCAAATCCCGGTTTAATGTGTTTTGTACCCAATGTCCGAAGAAGACTAATAAACACCATTTCAATGGTTTCTATGCTGGGAATGATGATGCACTTTGAATTATCATGGCATTCCTCCTGATGCGCTCGAATAATAATTAAGAAAAAAAAAAAAAAAAAGTAAAGAAATCCAATCACTACATTCTTTGACCCATCTCGCCAGGAAATCCTATGAATGCACTGATCCTGTGCAGTGAGTCTTTGTTCGCGTGGATCATTTGCAAAGCAGTTTCTAGACTGAGTAATTGTTGAAGACTACCTGATCTCGCGTTGCTTGATGTCATTTGATCTGTTGGACTACTTGAACCATCAAAACCTTGTATGCTAGTGACGCTACTTCTTTTGTCTAATTTTAAAACCTTCCGGAAGGAAGAAAGGTAATTGCGTTTGTACACTTCCCGATTGGAGTTGTTGAGGAAAGATCGTTGATCAAGTATGGTTTTATTCAACACCTATGAAATCATGAGGTCAGATTTCCAAATTTTAACCATCCCATCCGTCCACGCACGAAACTAAAGATGGTTTTCATGAGACGACACCTTTTGGTTCCATTTATCAATTTCTTCTTCATTTAGAACTTTTACCATTGTAAGCTCATCATTCAAATATTGATTCATCATCGGTTCGAACATTCGGTAGATTACTTCTTCAGCCCTTATCTTGCTTAAACCTGGTTTCGCGTGTTTCCACAGAACCTCGGCAATGCGTTTACAATGAAGACATGCAACCCCTACTGCCTTGAGGTAAATCATGATATCACGACTGCGGGCCTCTTCAAAAAGAACCGAAAAGTAATCTGTAATCTTGAAGATAGGTTTTCTTAAAAAGCCTCGCTCGGCGGGAACAACTTAACCTGATTGGTCAAGTCAAGTCGAAAACCACTTACAACATCCTCGACCACCCGTTCCACAAACACGTAGAAAACATCAGATTCCGGAGGGAACACTTGATCTATTAAGCTTGCTTGCTTTTTGAAATCTTCTGCCAAGTAGTCGAAAAAATCAGAAATGGGTTTAAAAGTCACTTCGCATCCAAGGGACGATGATAATTGCCTGATTAGATAAAGAAAAGCGATGTAAGCCCGATTTAACACTTTTTACGATAGATAAACAAATATTTTCTTGATGACCATACATAAAATTATCCAAAGGGTCGAACAAGTGATCAAAGAATATGGAATTCTTTTGTACAAATACTGAAATGCAGGACGCACCCCCATTCAACTCCA